GTACCGAAAGACGAGGCATGTTTCGATACTCTGTAGAACCGAAGCATTTCGGTCGGTACCATAAAAGAACCGAAGTTCGGTACCCAGCCCTATGCCTGTATATTGGTTATTTATTCTCCAGGTGTGCTGTTATGTTGTTTAAACACTTTACAGTACAGTATTTTATTGTTTATTTTTTAACACTTCTCTTTCCAAGGTCCACAGTTGTGTGACCATTTTTTTATATAATCTTTTTGCTGCCGTAAACACCAGAATTTCCCCAGTGTTGGACAATAAAGGGATTTTCTGTTCTATTATGAGGTATTCGAGCTCCAAAGTCCAGTTCGGACTCCTGATGTCATCATCTGTTAACTGTTGTATTTTCACAGGCAATGCCCCCCCCCACCGTGGGTAAGACGTCTAACAGGTGTCTGTTTTACTTCCAGGGTTCGTCAGCTATGACAATCCTGTCTCAGCACAGGCTGCCATTCAGGCCATGAACGGTTTCCAGATCGGAATGAAGAGGCTGAAGGTTCAGCTGAAGCGCTCCAAGAACGACAGCAAACCATACTGATCCTTACCTGGGGCCTTGCCCCCCCCTCCCCAGCTCAATTCTAGCACTGCTAGGGTAAGTTCACCCTCCTGCCAAGGTCACACAGCAGAGACTCAGGGGGGCAAGGGGACATGAGCCCACCACAGGAGGAAGACTCACCCTTTTCCTTAAAAAAAAAAAAAAAAAACAAAGAAAAAACGGTTTCTAAGATCTCTCCATGTTTTTTGCTGTACTTCATTCCTGCGGTTTTATGTACTTTTGAGTCTGAAATATTTTAATGTATATGATTATTTATGACTATCACTGGAGTCGGTGTTTGCTGGAGGTATTTTGTGTCACTGTATTTAGTGGAGAGCATCAGATGTTTCCACGCCACTTCATTGCCTTCAGGTCAAGTAAACAGACAGGTTGACTAAGGATCAGTTGTTGTGTTGAAGGGCTGAAGCGAGGTCACGCAGACCCTGAGCCAGAGCTTCAACCTGCTTTCAAATTCTCATCCGTAGTCCGTCTCATCCGTGTCGTCGTCGTGTAAATATCTACCCCTCTGCAGCCTCTTCCGTCCCCCCCCCCCTTCTTCTGTTTTGTCTTTACATTCATGATCTAAGCCATGTTGAGCTAGGCTACCTCTCTTTTTCTCAATTAACCTCCTCCAGTCATTCCATCCATCCTCCAAGTCTCCCACCAGGGACTGGGCTCTAGATGGATCTCTTTCAGTGCCAAGTATAAAAGTATGTGCATGTCAGAGTCTGCCATAAGTCCTAGTGGTGTCCCTTCTGTAAATCTGTGTATTCTTTTGTATGTTGGGAAGGGGGTGGGGGGGTTATCCTGCTGTCCTGTTGTGTGGTGACTTGCATTATTTTGTTTTTGTTGTTTGTGCCTCATGGCTTTAAAAAAACAAAACAATTTCTTGTGCTGTGCCCCTAACTTTCTCTTCTCTCCTCTTTGTCCTGTCTCTCCTCTCTCTCTCTCTCTCTCTTCGTGTTTTTGTTCCTTTTTTAGAACAAATCTCCATGCCTGTTTGCTCATCATTAGCCTAGCATGTCTTCATGATGTTGAAAGCCAAGCCAAACCCCTTCTCCCTGGCCTCATCATCCCACCATTGTCTGTGATGTCTCTCTAAGCTCGCCTGACCAATACCCGGCCACCCACTGACCCTGACCTTAGCTCAACCTGATTTTTTTTTTTTCTGCATGTATGATCATGTTTTTGCTTTTTTTTTGTTTGCTTTTTTTTTCTATATGAAAATGTGACGGGCAGGAGAGAGAGGTCAAGCATATTAATGTGAAAAACTTAGCTGCAATGAGTTCATTGAAGAGACGTTTGGGTTTTTTTGTTTAATATTTTTAAAAACCTGTGGGATTTCTAATTTTTAACTTAGCTATGTTCTTTCTTTTTACATTTCTTTTTTTTTTTTTTTACCTCTCAGTAAAATTTCACTTGAACGTTGAATACAGGGATTGGCACACTTCTGTGCTATTTGGTGCCATTAGCAATATTTTGGCTTCTTTAAAAAAAAAAAGAAAAATAAACAAAGATCCTTCTGATCCACTTCTCCAAGCCTGACCAGTTTAAAAAAAAAAAGAAAAAAAATCGCCCTGGGCGATCAGTTTCGATCTCTACATTATGTGGGCAGTGTGATGATTTACATCAAGGCTATTTAAAATTTATTTTCTTTCATTTACAAATATGATTGCGTGTATTTACCTTTTTATTAAAACTATCAATGGCACAATAAAAGGTACATTTGCTCTGCGGAGAGAAATGACTACCTACATGAGTCAACTTTTTTAGAACTGATTCACAAATAGACAATCTGTGGTTTAAATGCACACTTAGATTACCTATATTTTATACCATTGAATCTATAGAGGTTTAACTAACAGAACCCAGGCACAACTTTGGGTTGTTTTGTAGATTTCTGTTGTATTGTCGTCTATGTTGGGGAGGGCGGGGGGGGATACTATCAGATTATTAGTCTTTTTTTTTTTTTTTTGTCTAAAGAAGAAAAAAAAGGACTTAATTAAAGTTTGGTGACCATTTAAAGGTCATTTGTAGTAAATTAAATTCTGGTTTGATTAAAAGAAAAATTAAGGGTCAAATTTTGAGGCTATTTTTATTTTTTTTGTTTTCCTGTTATATAAAAGTGTTCAACTTCAATGGTACGTCTTGACTCTGTGAATTTTTATTTCATTACTAACTTAATCGATGGGTGTTTCACTTTGCTTTAGTTTGGATTGCCTCATGTAGGAGAAATAATTTACAAATGTCTGTTAATCATACATAGAAGATGTTTGATTTTTGTTTGTTGAAGTGCCCATGTGTCAAACTTTGGTTTTGAATGCAGAACTTTTTTTTTGGGGGGGGGGGTTATTTGCTGTAATATCTAGTTTTTTGTTGTTTTTTTTTAACACACACAGATATTTGATGTGATTGCATCAGTGGGAGCCCCTGAAGAGGAGATCACTTGGACAAATGAAACACAACCTGTGGGTCTCTGCACATTTTAGGCGCACCATTTTGCTTTTTTTTTTTTTTCTTTATTTCTCACATGGCACATTTAAAAAGCTCCACCACTAAAGGGTTGGGATACAAATACATTCCATTAATCTGCACCAAGTTTACACTTTTTATCAGGGTTAAATATTCTCTCTTGTGCTATATACGTTTTTGGGGGGAATAAGAAAAAAAAAAACAACCCTGCTATAAATAACCACTTCACCCACCCTCCACCCCTTAGGAAAAAAAAAAATAAAGCAAAAAAATAAAAAAGGGTAGCTAGACAAAAAAAACCTGCTTATCTGGTGGCGCTAAAGAGTTATCAACTCAGGGGTTTTTATGCGTTTCAAACTTCAACACGCAGGATTACCACACAAAATGCACACTTTTCTCACCATTTTGAACCTTTTTAAGTTAGGATTTTTTTTTTCTTTTTTTTGTTGTTAACCCAGTATATATATTTAAATAAATACCAAAATTTGCGACAGTGCTCGAGAGAAGTGTTCTAGTTTTGTAAGGAAATGTTAAGCACAATTGTGGGAGCTAAACACGTTGACAGAATGTGGTGATTGTGTGTGTGATTTTGATCCGAAATTTTCAAGGTACCACTGATTTCTCTTTTAATATGGGCATGTGCTTTTTACGGTGTTTTTTCTATCCAAATGCAATACAATATTCAAAGTGCCATAATATAAATATGTCTAGAAACTGCCTACACATTGTTATTAGGGCCTTGGTTTAGAGGTTGCTGCAGTTGGCCTTTTTTTTTTTTCTTTTTTAAATATTTTTTTCCTGTTTTTTGGTTCTGGTCTGTAAATGCCAGTCATAAAGCTGTTACCTGCTAATATCCCCACTTTTTCCTGCCCCTCCCCCCCTTACTGTGTGCTGAGTTATTGGTAAAATGTGTTTTGTGATGTACTTGATTTGAACAGTTGGTTCTAAAAAAACAAAATTGTAGATAAACAATAAACTTACCTATACATTTGAAGGGTAAACGTCTCTTGGTGAGTATTGCAACACTTTGATGCCAACTGATGTTCGTCGTGTTTTTGTTTTCATTAAAAAGGGGGGGGTTAAGTCTATTTGAGCTATTGCCTAAAACTTAGCTTTGGTAACTGAAGATTATTGCAGGTGTTTTGCTTAGTAGGTTACGGTGTGGTATTTATTTAAAACGGCAAAAAAAAAAAAAAAAAAATGAAGCACAATGTTTAGTCAGAGCACTCCCAACAGGAACTGGACTCACTTCAGGGGCTTCCATCAAAATCTCCATCAGCTCTAACAATCACTTTGACTCTTTCTCATTTTGAAGTGCTTTTCATTTGAAGTGTAGCTTTTTGCATTTCTATAGCTGTTTTTTTTTTGTTTAGATTTTTTTTTTCCCTTGATCTGGGGAAAAGAAGAAAAAAAAAATCGTATTGTCTGCTAATAAGTAAAACTTTATTCATGTTTCGCCAATAATTTCATAGATGTATTGTCGTCTCGAGGAAAGCCAAAGTGAGTGAATCTTGATGTGATCTGTGTTATACAAGCAGTTTATTTCTGTTCAAAACATTTTTGGAGAAGGGGTGGGGTTTAAAAAAAAATAGACATTCACAGGCTGTCCCAATTTCTACTGGTTGTTCATATGTATTTTGTACCAGTGAAGCTTTTTATATTGGAAATTAAAGGAAAAGAAGAAAAAAAAATCCATCTATATTGAAAAGAAAAAAACAGGTCTTGAGTTTGGCCTTTTGGTGATGTTTAGCTTTTTATTTTCCTGCTTTTGCCTCTAAAATATGCCTGATTTAGATTTAATTTTCGTTGGTTAATCGGTTGCGGGGGAGGGTTGGGATCCTCTAAACTCATGGTAAGTTTCATGCTACGATTTGTGCTTTCCACATAATTTAATAGTCTGGATTTTGACAATTTGTGTGGATAATTGTCTTAGTTACAAGGTTGCGTGTTTAGTTTAAAGCTTTGCTTTATACATGTTTACCTTGTTTTTTTGTTTTTTCCCACCATAGCAGAGTGTCTAGCTGAAAGACTGTTCTGTTTATTTTTTTGATCAGTGTTTGTTTGTGTGGTGTGTTTCTTTGCCTCTGTCTCGAAATTAAACCATTTCCCCTAATATGGACCGTGTGTCTTTGTCTGTTTTGTGCTTGTCCGGTGTTGTGCAGGCATTTTATGGACCCCTCCCTCTCCCAGTGTGTTGCGTGTCTCTTGTTGTGCTTCTCTTTGCTCTAGTATTTTTAATTATCAAGCTGTTGCAGAACACCTGCATTCAAGCTTACATTTCTGTGCAGCCACAGAGGTACTTGTTTAATACTTAATGATAAACATCTTTAAAAAGATCAATTCAGAATTGATTTTTAATTTGTGATGCTTTGTGTAGACAGAATTCTTCATTAAATATGAAATAACAAATTGGAGCCTTTAGAGAAGAAGGGTGTGGGGGGGAAAAAAATCCAAAAACCATGTTTGCAGGAATCTTGAGGACTCTGCAAATCTAAAGTTTTCCTGGTCTGAGTCCAATGCTGGATATTTTTTGTTCTAAATGCCAGGCCCTTAACACACACACACCAAACAGCTGAAGATGGTGCTTTTCTTCATCACTGAAGCTGATCAGAGCTGATTTAAAGATGAACGCTGTTAAATACTGGAAGGAAACTCGTTGGAGACTCAAGTGGAGTTTCAACTTCCAGGTCCTGAAGTAGCAGCTCCGGTGAAATGACTTCATTAACAGCGTATTGATGTTAGTTGGCCCCCAGTTCAAAGTCCAGACCCCAATCTCACAGAGGAGCTGTAAAAAGACCTACCGGTAGATTCAACTTTAGATGCTGACTTATGAGGCCTAAAGCATAAAACTTAGTTAAGTTTAGCAAAGTAGCTGGGAGTTGTAACATGGAAAAAGTATTAAATGTTTCAAGGTGTAAATAAACACACCCCTTATGTAAAAACAGTTATAAAATTTTTAAAAATTAGACCTAGTCTGGGCTGTTCTGCCAAACGCCTCAGTGACATCAATGTTTTATTCAATGAGTTTAATCCTGTTTGTGGAACTGATTAATTTCGAGGCATTTTTGAAAAGCCTGTAGGGCTGAAGATTGCTTTGATAAATATTTTAGGCTTCAGCATCTTAAAGTTATCGTACATCATCTCAATATATATAAATATATATAAACCTATTGCAGACTTCTAGAAAATGCATTGTTAGAAATATGCTAATATTTTCTTTTAGGTAAAGACTTTTGCAATATTATCCATTTTTTGTTATTATGAAAGAAAAAAAAAAAAAAGAAAATCATATAAAGGGATCCAGCTTGGCTGGAATCCTGGGTTTTCCACTGGTTTGAGTCCAAATGGATATAAATTGGGTTCAGAGGCATCGCTGTCCCCAAAGACTCCTAAGAGAGTAAAGAGACTCACTTTTAAGACACATGCTTTGCTAGATTGCAATAAATGATTTGTTGGATGTCCTACTAATATAGTGCTTTTTATTCGTCAAAGTAAGCATGTCTTAGAAGAGTTCAGCCTTTATAAAAGCAGCCTAAGTACCAAAAAGGGGCTTTGCAATAACTCCACCTAGTGGTAAAAGCATGAAACGACAGAACGCAAAGATAATATGAAGATTATTTTGTTTCAAAACTATTTGTCCAATGTGTTAATTTGAAGTTGGAGATTTAGATTCTAAGTTTTGTATTTGTAGAATAAAAGAAAAATATATTCATAAGTACAAATTATATATACATATTTTACACCTGTTTAGCATGAATTTGTATGCAGTAGTATATGGCAGTAGGCCATATATGTATTTCCGGTTGGTGCAGACTGATCAAGCAGGCAGCGCCCCCTGCTGTCCAATCAACGGTACTATCCACTAGTCTCAGATCATTTTTACTGCCCTGACATTGAATTTTTTATTTTTTTTGCACCATTTGACTGTTGCAAAACTGAATGGCAGACATTTCTGATGTGAACACACAGTTTGATTTGTGTATTTGTACTCAAGAGTTTGAAGAGGTGTAACTTTTTGTAATTGTGACAGATTAAAAAAAAAAAAAAAATCTACAATTACAAAACACCAAAGTTACAATGCACAAATAGTTTTTGCAACAATAGTTCTGGACCATTTGGAGCAAAACTGAGAATGTAAAAGGTTTTTGATGTGCCACTTGTTGAACATAATTTGTGTACTTGCACTTAAAATTTGAACAGGTGTTTAAAAAAAAAAGAAAATTGTACTTTTATTATTTTATTAATTCTACAAATACAAAACATAGAACGTAATTCTCTCTCCAACTTCAAATTCCCATTTACAATACACAAATAATTTTGAAACAAAATAACCGTAAGATCATCTGGTTTGTCCCGCAACAACAAAATATGTCCTGTTAATTTTTTTTAATTCTGACAACATTTTTGTGGGATTAGTCTTTTTTGAGATCTTACCCATGGGTAAGAAGTAGCATGAAAAGTGGCCCCCAGATAGTTGTTCTTAGAATGCGCTATAATTAACTGGATAACTCGGATAACTTCAACAGATTTTCTTAATAGGCTACCCATTTTTCAACCAGAGAAAAATCCACAAGGCATTCTTATTTGTGAACCAGGGATGCCTTGTAATTTGAAGGAACACCTGAACACAACAATCTGACGTCAGTTTTTTTATCAACTGTAATGGTGGTCCCTTTAAAAAAATAGAAAATCAACATAGATTAGTCGTATGACATCTACCCATATTGATCTTGATTAAAAATAAATAATCGAAAATCATATACGGATGAAGTATGGAGGACCGATTCTGCCATAGTTAAAAATACTTAAAAAAAATAAGTGACTCATGAATATAAATTGTGGTGAAATAAAGGCTTGATATTTAAATAAATGAGCCATTAAATGCAACAAACTGATAAAACTACTTATAAACTAAAAACATTGAAAATTAATTTATTACATATAGCTACATATATATATTCTATTTTATCTTAATTATATTTTATCTCTGCACTTTTATTCCATTTTTTAAAATTTAAACAATGAATATTTAGTCTTAGCTTATTTATTAGAATGCTGAATTGTTTTTCTTTACATATGTGTTTAACCCTGTAATGCCAAATGTATCATATTTGATACATACGGTTTCTGAAATGTTTTGCGTCTGACACCTTTTGCATAATTTAATGGTAAAAACTTTGCTCAAAATTCTATTGTACACAATCAGATATACCTGATAACAGAGGGCAGAAGACTACACAAAAAATAATTTTGACTTATCGCATAGTAATAAATTATTAATATCAAAAAATTCTGTTTTTTTCTTTTTACATATTTTGTTAAAAGGCCAAATAAGGAGAATAAAAGTGCAGATATAAAACAGAACAATGAAGATAAAAAGATATTTACAATTATATCAAAACAATTTAGTTTTTAAATGTATCTTTATTTTTTAATCAGTCAGTGGGATTTAACGGCTCTGTAATTAAAATTTCAAGCCATTATTTTACCAACTGTTAATATTTATGAGTCATTCGTTTTATTCATGTAATTTTAGTGATGGCAGTATTGGTCCTCCATAAAGAAGGGCGCGTGACTCGTTGCCAAACGTTTCAAAGCTCTTCGGCCAATCGGTGGCCGGTGCGGCATCTCCTCCCAACACGTCCTTCTCCCCGGGCAATATGGCGGCCGTGTTGTAGCCGCTCTGCNTCGGCCAATCGGTGGCCGGTGCGGCATCTCCTCCCAACACGTCCTTCTCCCCGGGCAATATGGCGGCCGTGTTGTAGCCGCTCTGCTTGGCTGGAGCCGCTTTCACGTTGTAGGAGTAAAGATTTACAGTCAGAAACATGTCGGCCGTTCTTTTTTTGAAAACATGTATGAGAAGACTGCCGCCAAACGCAGCTGGGCAGGTCCTCGGCTGCTGCTATCACACCGAGAGAGGAGTTTACGGCTACCGACCCAAGCAGCTCGGCGTGGAGAACACGTCACAGAGGGAGCGCATCGCTGCACTCAACCAAGGTCGGTAAAACTACGGCAGGAGGGCCGATGTCGAGGCGATGGGGGTCAAATTACGGCCATGCCTACAAAAGCTGTGCTAATTATCTTAACGTAGTGGATTAGTAGGAACACCTCCCACAGAGGCGCTCCCCTTCATGGAGGTGTTGTAAATGAAGCGCACCTGTTTGTTTCCAGGAGCAGAGTTTATTCACAATAACTGCAGAGGCGACACCAGAGGGGGGCCGATGGGGGCTGACATAGCTGCTCATCTTCAGAATTATTTTATGCAAAACTTGGATTGTTTATTTTAGTCTATATGGGATATGTTTCGTGTCATAAATGTAAAACTAGGGTGATTTGGGTTTCTGAAAAGGAGGACACTTTTTTTTTTTGGGTGCGGTTGGGGGGGAGCTGACTGGATCGGGTCGGGCATTTGAACTGAGCCATCAGCACCGAGCTGGTCTGGGTCTGGGGCCAGCCGGGAACGGTATGCTTCCCCCCTGGGGGAAGCGCGGGGACGCGGCTACCGTCACCGGGTCCGGTTTGGTCGCTCCGTCCTCCGCTGGCTCCCTCCCCCCGTCCGCTGGAGTTCCCGAACCAGCCCTGGACCTGACGGCTCGGTTCTGCTGCACTGTAGTCGACCAAAATAACCGACGATTTTAAAATTCCCCCCGGACATTTTTTTTAGGTATGAAAAGTAGGACATGTCTGGGGAAAAAGAGGACGTCTGGTCGCTCTAAGTAAAACATCACTACTTCCACAACTAGATGATTGGACCTGAGGATAGAATCTTCCTGCATTTCTGCTTCTTCTTCCAGCTCAGACACTCAGCCTAGAGTCGTACAGCAGTCGGCCATCCATTTTCGATCATGCTTATCCCAAGCGGGGTCGCTTAACCTGGTGCCAATCTCAGCTGTCTATGGGCGAAAAGCCGGGTACACCCTGGGGTGCACCCCATCACAGGGCAACACTTAGACAAACGGCACAAACAATGATGCGCACGCAGCTAAGGAGTATATAGAGAAGCCGATTAACCTAGCAGTCATGTTTTTGGACTGTGGGAGGAAGCCACGCATGCACAGGGAGAACATGCAAACTCCATGCAGAAATCGAACAGGAATTGAACCCGGAACCTTATTGCTGCAAGGCAGCAGTGCTACCCACCAAACAGCCCCGCACTGCTGTCAGAATGAGGGAAAAAAAATAACACGGTCTTATAAGGCATTAGCACCCAAAGCATCAGACACTGGACATGTGTAAATATGTTTAAATGAGGTTTTAAACAATAAAGCTTTGTCAAAAAAAAAAAAAAAAAAAGTCATAAGATTATATCAGATTGTATTTTATTTACTGGTTAAAAAAACTGTGATCACTTATAGAAACTTTTACACAAAGTTAATCTTAAAGGAATAAATTTTCATTGAGAAGTGTGATGATTTCCCCCAGCTCATTTATGACACGTAAAGTATTATGATTTTTCTTCTTAAAAGCATCTGAATCTGTAGGAAACGTAATTAGTGCAAGAAATCACAATTGTTTAAATTCAATCGATGACAAAACCTAAAAAAAAAATTCAGCACTTAATTTGTGCTTTTTAAAGGTACACTATGCAACCGGTGTTGATTTTCCAGCGAGGCTCCCCCCAGAGGGCGAAAGTAAAAGTGCACTGTCGTAAATGCTCAGCTGTTTTCCTGGTTTCTCCGTCAAGCCAGGCGCGGTTGTTTTGAGCTTAGCAGCGAATGACTAATGCTGCGTTCACACTGGAC